TATTTTTCTATGAAGTTTTCTTTTTAATTTATAACATGTTTTTTATAAAATGCTTAATTAATTTATTATGGTTATGATTTTAATTTTCCTAAATGCCGTTATTTACAAATAGAACAGTATCTTATTGGTAATAACTAAGCTTAAAGTAAATTTTAAGGTAAGTTTAAAATAATTGAGATATTAATCTTATTAATTTGTCTTATAAGTCATTTTTCTTTAAATTCTTTATTCTGAGTATGGACTTAATTATTCAAAAATTGATTTCAATCTCTATATAAAATGTTGGAATATTTAATAAAAACTTCTCAGAAGTTTTTGATTTTTTACTAGGTTTAATTTGTATAATCCCACTATTAGGTTTTATAATTAAATTTTATTTTCAGTTACTTTTATTTGACGTTTATTAATTATTCAATATGATTTTCCGAAAATATAATAGCTAAATCATCAAAATATAGAAAAAGGAATCAAAAAATATTTTAGATTTTATGCTTTCAAAGTTTCTATTAATAAATCGGAAATAATATTAAATAAAAATGATGAAAGAATAATGCCTTTAGGTACTCAATTTTTAAAGCTTATTTTCTAATTATTGTGTATTGTAAATTAATGAGAAATAAATGCTTCTAAAGGTCTTATTCTTCTTAATCAAGTATTCATTTTGATTCTCATGCATTGAAACAATATTTCTAAATTTGCTGTGTTATATGTTGAACAAAAATCAACTAATAAATAAAAATGTTTTTTAAAACTCTAAGGGTTGAGTTCCGTATCCTATTTTAAAACTGAGTTATTCTTTTATTATCTAATAAGGACAATAATCACTTAATTTTTATTGAAATAATTATTTCAATTTAAAAATTAAATCTTCCTATTATTTTTATAAATATGCACCTATTTTAATCTAATTTAATAAATATAAATTAAAAAGATAAATAAAATTGACTAGGAAACTAACTCTGAAATATTTATGAATAAAATAATATTTAATTCTTGAAAAAAAGATCTCGAAAAATTTTAAGCGAATTTTGATTGCACATAACAATCTTTTATATTTCGATCTAGATAGAATTGAATATATGAGATAATATGATGGAGGCTCTGTATTATTTGAATATTTATTTATTTTAATAGTAGTTAAAAAAAGAATAAAAAAATAAATTGAATAATTTATAATTTGATGAATAATTTAAAAAAAATATATTAAAATATAATAATAATAATCTAAAAAAATAGAACAATAATCCAGATGGAACAATATTTTAATATAGATTTTATAGAGAGAGTTGTATATAAATAGAGGAGAGATTGTATATTAAAGACTTGAGAATAATTGGTAATAGAAAATTAGAAGTATAAAATAATAATATTTTAGAATATGTTAATAATTAATAATGAATCTTATTCTTACAGTTATTAATTAGATAATGGGATTCCTATTGTACCATGCTATGATAATAAATATGATAAGGAATTAATATTCTTAACAGATTATTTAATGAATTTGAAGTAATGTGAATAGTTGGTAAATTAAAATAGAATGCATTCTAGAACATATTTATATTAGATGTGTAATAATGGAGAGGAATGTTTAAAAGAGATGTTTTAAGCTCATGATGTAATATTGGATTGAAATAATAATTAAAAGAATTGAATTATGATTATAGAAAATGGTTTGATAGGATATCCATTTATATATAAATATAATAAATAAATTAACTGCAAATCAAATGAATTATGAAGCATTACTAGAGGAATTAGGATTGGATGGTACTCCATAAAAATAAACAAGCAAATCACCATAGAATAATACTAGAGCAAGTGATAATACTTACATTACTAAAACACCTGAAACTTAATAAAAAAAAATAAAATTAATATTAAATGTAAATTTGAGTTCAAATCAAGTGGAATAGTTAATGATTTATTAAGATGAAGATCCAAAGTTGAAAGTATCAGAATTTTGTCATTTGCACTAATTAGATAAGAATGCATAAAATGTATTATTAAAACAGATCAACAGTAATACAAACAGTGATAATTATCAAAGCTAATAAAAATTATAATAGCAAAATTATTATTCAAGATAATTATAATCATATTCAACTAAAGAGTCAGAATAACCAGGAGAGAGATTGTATTAATTAGCTTAAAAGAAAAGGGAATAAAGAGATAATTAAATAAAACAGTATTAAACAGAAAAATAAGAATAAGAATAATAATAGTTACAATAGACACCTAAATTAAGTAAACAAACTAAAATTTATTTGGTATGTAACTATTATATTAATTTAAGGAATAAGCAGGTTATCGTAAGAATGGATATATGAAAGAAAAAGGAACTTTAAAAGATAAACAAATTTAATAAGTATTTTTAGATGAATAAGGAAAGGAATATAATTTTGTACCTTAAATTAATGAATTGTAATAAATAAATTATATATTATTATTTAGATCTAAATAAATGAGTCATTATATAAGAGAGAAATAACATTATGAAAACGTATTTGATGAATTGTATGAATAAGCAAGAAATAGAATGTATTCTTAACCAGAATAAGATATTCCTGAATGCACTTTCAAACCTTCAGTAAATACCAATTTTAAAATTGATGATGATTTTTTAACTAGAATGGAAAAAAAACAAGAAGAATTAAAAGAAAGAAGAGAATTAATTAAAATGAAGTATGAAAACGTAGACTTAAAAACTCGTCAATTATTATATCGACCTAAAATATGTAGAAGTCCTTATGCTTAAACATCATCAGAAAAACGTATATGAATAGATTAAATCATAAGCCGTTCATGAGAAGCTTTATTTATAGTCCAAGTTAAAGTCTGAAAAATTACAACAAATGTCTGAATAAAAAGTCATCGAAGAAAAGGAATCCTTAAATGTGAGATTGAAAAATGAATTATCAGAAGATATAGTATTTTTATAAAGAAAAAAGATCCTTAAATAATTGTTTACTGAAATGGATACTAATTAAGATGGTTAAATATAATGTTCATATGAAGAAATTAATAATCTCACTCCTAACATTATTTAAACTTTATGGCCTATATTCAAATATTTATAGGAATAAAAAAGAATATTAGATTTTGATGACTTTTTTTAAAGTGTTTATGAATATTGTATCAATCTACCTTAAATCCAAAAGGATGTCATTTTCAAAAAATCTAAAAATAACTATCTTACTATGAAAGATTAAGATTATACCTTTACTCCTAAAACTAATAAAAAGTCAAAGTCAATGAATACAGTGCATTATCCTAGTTGTAAATGTGAAATTTGCACACAAATTGCTATTATATAAAGACAATTAAATGATAAATGAAATATATATAAATATATATATTACATGACAATTAATAATATCTTATAATTAAATAATTGTACATAAATGCAATTTTAAAGATAAAGAATACATCAAATAAATAAAATATTAATATAATTATATGTCTGCTAACTGTATTCAAGATAAAAAATTCGCTTAAATAAATGAAGATTTCACTATAGATAATCTTGATTAATCAACAACAAATTAATCAAAATAAAGTAACGCAACACTTTCTATAGCCTTTCCAAATGCTGATAACAATTATAGGTACAGACCAATCAAAACTTAAAGTATTTTTAAACTTAATGAAAGGAAGCCTTTTGTCACTGACTCCTTAAATTAGTCAAAGAAGAAGTTCAAAATCACTCATTGAACATACAAATATTATTGAAGAAGAAGTATTAACAATATTTAAAATATTAGCCATAAATTTAAGGATAGAATGAAGTATTTATAGTTTATTGGTATGACTAAAATATTGATCATAAATATGAGATAATATTATAAGCTCTTAATAATATTACAATTGGTGATCTTATTCAACTTTTTATCTAATAATTCAATGATCAAAACTAATATTTATAAACACCGTTTTCATCTAACAATCATGATACAAATGTTTATGAATTATATATACCTAAAAAGAAAAAAGGTAACCCAAATGAAGATTTTCCAGGTATTGTATTTCAAATTATTTTAGCTTTCGCTAATTAAACATTACTTAATTAAACCAATTTAAAAGAATTTTCCTTAAAGATAACTACTAAATAAATTAAAAATTATTCGACAGCACTTTCAAATACCTAAAATATATCAGCAACTAAATCTAATAATAAATAGAGATAAAGTTTAACAAATTCTAGTTAAAAAAAGAAGAAAACCTTTTTCTAGAAATTATTCTTTTGCTGCAATCAGGCTGAAGAATTTTGAACTTAATAACTTAAACTTGTTTAATGCATTTAAATAACAAATAATCTATAAATAACTATTATCATATATTTACTTTAATCATCTCCTCAAAAAATATATGAATTATTTTATTCATAAAACTCCTTAAAGAAACTTTTTGTTTGTTTTACTTATTTCTTTTAATAATGACTAAAATGATTTTGATAGGTTATAGACATTATTTTATGAGTTTCTTAAATTAGGTATAAATATTTTTTATTATAATTAAAAATAAATAAAAAAAAACATTCTATAAGTAAACAATTAAACCAAAGAATTATTAGATACTGTAACATTTTCTGAGTTATAATTAATATTATAATTGTAATTCTATTAATGCTTTTCTTGAAATAATTTATAAGTTTTCTTCAGTACAAATATTTTTACTGTGTAAAATTAAATAGTTTTTTAGGAATGTGTCTATTAAGTTTTGATCATCAATATTATATGATCTTCAATTATTTAGTCAATATTTGATATAATAATAAATGAAGTTTTTGATATTTGGTACAATAGTTTCGGCTAATTTAAATTATTAAGTTAAGATAAAAATGTTTTCATAAAATATACATATGGATATATAGACATCAGAAAATTAAAAAAAAACTAAAAATTTTAACAACTAAGATGATAAATTAAAGAGTTGATTTTGAAAAAGTAAAATCACAATAATGATATTAATTATAATATATTTAAATTTATAATAAGGAATATATGAGTCGTGTACTGAGATATTAAAAAAAGAAGAAGGATGATGGTATTTAATTAATTTATTCATTAGGACCATTACTTAAAATAAATTTTGCAAAATTTCCAAATTTACCAAAAATAAGGGAAGAAGAGGATAGATTATAAGGTTTTATAAATTCTTTTGAATCAGACAGCTAGTATTTTGTTAGATATAAAATTAGGTTATCATTCTAAGAAAGATCTTGTTAATTAAGAACTATGACAGCATCATTTACTAGAGGTTTAAAAACTACATCTAGTTCAAGGGAAAAAAAGGATTAAAAAAAAGTTGATGAAAATTACACCATTTATGGATTATCTAAAATAAAAACAGCAAGAAGTCCACTTTTAACATAAAGATAAACACCAAATCCATATGAATAAGAATAAAAATTTGAAAAATCAAATTAAGAATGGTTTGAATAGTCTTAAACTTCAGAAGCACCTTAAGCTAAAGTTTTGTTTTATAATCAAAGAAAAAAGTATATTGAAATAATTATATAGATCTTTTTTATGGGAAGATGCAAAAGTTATTAATTATAATCAGGATACTTAAAAATTTCTTGTTTAAAAGTTTCCTGATGGTTAAACTAAATCTGTTGACAGACTTTCCATTAAATTTATTAATCAAGATGAAGAATTATTTAGAGTAGCCACAGTAAGAAGGTTTATATTTCATTTTATTAAAATATAGTTAGAATATAAGAATACATTAAAAAGAAGAAATGAAAAGACTTAGAGAAATTAATGCAATAAGTGATAATGAAGTCAATAAAGCTCCTATATCTTTAATTAATTCACTTTTTAGCAGATTTTAGTATGCTAAAAAATTATAACATGTTGAAGCTTTACTTGAAGAAGTTAATTAAAATTATATACTATTTTAAAAAAAATGTTCATTTATTGAAGATGCTTGTGAATATAAATAAATTTCTAAAATAGAAAGAAGATATTAATATTTTTCTACTTTCTAAATTAATCTTGAAAAAGAAGCAATTTTATTAAAAAAAGATGGTTATAAAGCTATGAAGTAGTTAATTACTAGATTAAACTAAATTAATATTGAGATAATACATTAAAAGGATTTTAAATTTCCAATAATTTTAAATAAATTTGATTCTGCTCTTGAATTAGAAGGAAAAGAGATAAAAAAAGAAATTAGAAGAGAAAAATTCTATATACAATCAGATTTGTAAGATATTTTAGGTTAAAATTATAAATTTGTAGAAACAAATCGGAAACGATATAATGATTGTGGGTTGTCAAGAATTTTGACTAAAGTCGATCTGATGTATTAATAAATTATAAAAGAAAAGGTTCTACATTAGTTTAATTACACAAAAGAATTTTATGAAAGTTTTATTCTAAATTCTTAATTTTACAAGCCTTTAAATAAAAAGCCATTACTATAACTACATGTTTAATGTGTTGTTCAACAAGCACCTATAAAAAAATCAATGAGAAAATTGATAAAAGATTCAATAAAAGGAGATGAAGAGATAATATATATGGAGCCAAATTTATCATCTATCTTAATAGTTTTAATGAAACCTTTTGATTTTCTTTATCAATTAGTAATAGAAGGTTATTGCATTTAAAGTGAAATAATGACTTTACTATTGTTAGAAAAGAAAAAATTATCAGCAGTTATGGATTTTTCTCAATTATCAATAATAAAAGATGAAACTATTGCTTTAATTTCAAATGAGTATAAATGTTGTGATGACATTGTAAAATACTATAATAAATATTCTCATTATTTAAAAGCTTTTAGATCGAAAGATTTATATGATATATTTGGTTTGGATCCAAAAGAAGCAGCAACACTAAGTTAAATGAATTTTTCATCTATAGAAAGTTATCTATATGAATTAAAAGAATCTAAATTAGATATTCTATAATATTAATAAAATTAGAAAAGATTTGGATTATTTTCTTTAAATATTTATGAATTGAAACATACCTTGGTTGAACGTATAAATGATTAATAATAAATGATATTTAATGTAATTAAATATTTAAATATTAATAGAAGATATAAGAAATATTGAAACATAATATTTAATAAATTAAATAATAGTTTTAAATAATGAGAGATAAAAGTTAGTAGATTCCATAAACTGAATAAGAATTAATGGAACTAAAATTATTTTTAGGAGAAATTAAAGTAGATTTCTCAAGAATGTAATTTGAAGTTCAATTTGTGTAAATAAATAATTTATATATTTATGTAGAGAACAATACTTAAATTTATTTGAAGAATTTTATTATTCTTTTGACTTTTAGTTGATGATAGATTATTATGAATTAATATATTTACCTAAAGATATATCAGATATAATTGAAGCCAATAAAGCTGTACTTAAATCATAAGAAGATATATTTTTGAGAAGATTACATAATGATAAATAGGAATTCATAGCTAAAATATTAGATATGCAAGCAACATTTACAAAAATTAAATCTTATTCTTAATATGAAAAATTGAAAGAATATATAATAGAAATTAAAAAGTTTTAAGAGTAATTAGAAATTTCAAAAGAAATCATATCAGAATTTAATCTAAGGGAACTTACATTTTAAATAGGAGTGACAATTTATAAAGAGTTTGATAATTTATTGCATGAATTCTAACCTTATCATTAATTTTGGGATTTAGCAGTAAAAATATTATATTTAATAATTAGTAAAGATTTGATATTTAAAAAGAATAATGGTTGTTTATGTCAATTAAATAATTAGACCATTTAGATATGTAATTGTAAATGTAACAATTTAATAATGAAGCTATCTAAATATTTAATTATTTTTCTGATATATTAGATGACAATGCATAAAGTTTAGTAAGAAATTTAAGAAGATAATTGGATCAATTTAAAGATAATATTTGGATAGTTGAATCTCTGGCAATTGAGGCATATAAAAGGAAACCAATATTTTGGAAGGATTTATTTAGAGAATGCTCATTTCCTTAATTAGAAAATAAGGAAGAAATTACAATAGCAAATTTATTAAAAAAAGGTATTTTAAATTATAAAGATACTGTTTTAAAATTATCATCTTAAGCAGAGAAAAGTTGGAGTGTTGAAAAAAGATTGAATGAAATGTTTGATAAACTATCAATAATAGAATTAGAATTATAATAATATAAAGATACATTCATTTTTAAAAATTATGAAGATGTAATGGCTTAATTAGATGAATAATTAAATGTATTAAATATTTTAAAAGCTTAACCTCATGCTAAATTTGTAATAATAAAGGCTGCTTAATTAGAAAATAAGATATTACTTATTTAAGATACACTTGAATAGGTTATGAAATGTTAAAAGCATTGGATATATTTAGATCCTATATTTGCTAGTGATGATATAAAATAGAAATTAAAATAGGAAACTTTGGATTTTAAAAGAATAGATTAATCTTATAAAAATTATATGATTATTTTAAATAAGAATAAATAATTATGGGATCAGATAGAAAATGATAAGATGAAACAAGATTTCTCTTATAATGTATAAATGTTAGATTAAATATAAAGAAGTTTAACAAAATATTTGGAATCGAAGAGAATATTATTTCCCCGTTTTTATTTTGTATCAGATGAAGAACTTGTAGAAATAATAGCCTAAACTAAAAATCCTTAATAAGTTTAGAAACATATATTTAAATGTTTTGAGAATATATCTGAATTGAAAATAGTTGATAATGAAGTTATAACAGCATTTTATTCAAGTCATTAAGAAAAAATATTATTAGATGATGTAATTAATTTGAAAAAAGGGAATAAGATTGAAAATGTAGAGAGTTGGTTATCTGAATTTTAAACGAGAATGTAGAAAACAATTAAAAAAGCAAGTTGTAATGCTTTAAAAGATTTGAATTCAACAAAAATAGAAATTATTAATAAATGGCCAGGATAAAGTGTATTATTAAGTAATTAGATAAAATGGACAAGGAATACTGAAGCATCTATAAGATAATAATAAAAATTAAATTTGAAACTTTTAGTTTAATTATTAAATAAGGAATTATCAACAACAGTAGATTTAGTTAGAAATGAAACGAGATTAATTTAAAAGACAACTTTAGAAGCAATGGTAATTTAGGAAGTTCATAATAAAGATGTGGCTGAAATGTTATTAAATTAATAGATAGAAATAATAAACTCATTTGTTTGGATTTCTTAATTAAGATATTACTATAATGATGAAAATTCTATATAAGTAAGAATGGTAAATTCCTCTTTTGAAGTATTTTATTAAATTAATAATCATAGTATGGATATGAGTATTTGGGTAAGATCTAAAGATTAGTAATAACAGCATTAACAGATAGATGTTAAAGAACTTTGATGGAAGCATATAAAATGAATTATGGTGGTGCTCCTGAAGGTCCTGCAGGAACAGGTAAAACAGAAACTGTTAAAGATTTGGCTAAAGCAATGGCAAGACCATGTATTGTATTTAATTGTTCAGATGGATTAAATTATATTGCTATGGGTAAATTCTTTAAAGGATTGGTTACATCTGGTTCTTGGTGTTGTTTCGATGAATTTAATAGAATTGATCCAGAAGTTTTATCAGTTGTCGCACAATAAATTTTTACAATTTAGAAGGCAATAAAATTAAAATAGGAATCTTTTTTATTTGAAGGAGAAGAGATTAATTTAGTTCCAACTTGTGCAATAAATGTTACTATGAATCCTGGATATGCTGGAAGATCAGAATTACCTGATAATCTTAAAATTCTATTTCGTCCTTGTGCTATGATGGTTGCTGATTATGAAATGATTGCAGAGATATTCTTATATAGTATTGGTTTTGAAAAAGCAAGAGAATTAAGTAAATAAATAGTTACTTGTTTAAAGCTATGTAATGAGTAATTGTCAACTTAAGAACATTATGATTTTGGTATGAGAACTTTAAAGGCAGTATTAAATTCCATAAAAAATACAAGGAATGGAACTGAATAAGAAAAAAGTTTAACCGCTTTGATTATTGTAAATTAACCAAAATTAGTGAATCGTGATATTGAATTATTCAAAGCTATTACTTAAGATTCATTTCCAAATGTTTAATAATAAGAATAAGAACAATTAGAACTTCTATAGTAATAAACTCAAAATATGAAACTAATTTATTATGATACATTAGCAATTAAATGCTAATAAATTCATAACAGTATTTAAGTTAGAAATGGGGTAATGTTAGTTGGTTAAACTTTTTCAGGAAAATCAACATCTTTATAAATTTTATCAAATTTATTGAAAGCAACAATTCTTAAATTAAATCCGAAAGCAATAAACTCTGATTAATTATATGGAAAGTTAGATCCTGATACAAAATAATGGTCAGATGGAGTTGCTCCAATATTGATTAGAGAGAATATACAAAAAGAAAAATATGTTTGGATAGTTTTTGATGGACCAGTTGATTCTATTTGGATAGAAAATCTAAATACAGTTTTAGATGATAATAAAAAATTATGTTTAACATCTGGAGAAATTTTAAAAATTCCAGATAAAATGTGTATGATTTTTGAAGTTGAAAATTTATCTGCTGCATCACCTGCTACAGTTTCAAGATTGGGTATGATTTATTATAATATATTTGATTGGAAATATCTTATTGAAAATATGAGATTACCTAATCATTTTGATCATAAATACTTTATTAAAAGAATTAAATAGTAATTTATTAATATTTATTATAGTTTAATAGAACATTGTTTATTATGGATGTAATATAATGCATCATTTCCTGTTTATTCATAACATAATATATTAGTAAGATCATTTTTAAAATTGTTCTAAAAATTAATGTCATAATTAGATTAAAATGAAAGTGATACTTTTGTATTTGATAATACTATAATATTTTCAATCACATGGTCTTTAGGTGCTGCAATTAATGAATAAAATAGAAATTAATTTAATACTTTTTTACATAAGTTACTTAAACATTAATAAACAGGATTGGATTTAGAAATTAATAGAAAATTATAATTTCCTATTAATGAAAGAATAGATTACTTTTTATATGGATTTATTAATTAAAAATGGTTAGAATGGACTGATGTAATATTTAATTATATAATTATAGATATCTGAATAATTATTAATAACTCCAAGTACTGATTTTCATTAGATAGTAGTTCCTACAAGTGAATCAAATAGAAATGATTATTTTTGTAAATTAGGATTACATTTGTTATATTGTGGACCAACAGGAACAGGAAAATCTTTATCAATGGCAAAATTTTCTTAATTTTAAATTGCATGTAGTGGTTAAACAACTGGAAATAGTTTATAAAGATTAATAGAAACAAAAATAAATAAAAGAAGACGAAAAGGATATTATGGAGCTGAAGAAGGATAGATTATAATATTTGTAGATGAATTAAATATGCCTTTTAGAGAACCATAAGGATCATAACCAGCAATAGAATTATTAAGATAATGGATGGATTAAGGAGGTTGGTATGATTTGGATAATAAAGAATTTAAACATATGTGTGATATTACATTTTTATGTGCTATGTAACCTGCAAGTGGGGGTAGAAATCAAATTACAATGAGATATCTAAGACATTTCAATTTATTATATATAGGTGGATTTGATACTGCTAGTGTAACCAATATTTTACAAGTCTTTGTAGATTGGGTTATGATTAAGTTTAATGCTACAGAAGAAGTTAAATCATTTAAATAATAATTAGTTATAAATTCATTAAATCTATATTCAAAAATATAAGATAGTTTATTACCAACTCCATAAAAATGTCATTATATTTATAATCTAAGAGATGTATTTAGAATTTTTGAAGGAATGAGTAAAGCTTCTAAATTATATACAATATCTAATTTAATGAAACTTTGGGTTCATGAATGTACAAGAATATTCAGTGATCGTTTGGTAGATTTTAATGATATCAAGATTTTTTAAAATATAATAAAAGAAATAATAGTAGAAGATAGAATAAATTTAAATAATATATTATGGATATAAGGAACTCACAATAGTAATTATGAGGAAGTATAGAATATTTAATAATTGAAATAAAAGGTACAAGGAATGCATGATGATTTTAATGCTTAAAGATTTTAAAGTAAATTGTCATTAATTTTGTTTACGAATGCAATAATGCATATATTTCGAATAACTAGAATTTTGCAATAGACCTTTGGGCATGCTTTGTTAATAGGAATAGGAGGAACAGGAAGATGTAAGTCTAATAATTAATAATATGTTTAGCATCGTTAGCCAAATTAGCAACATTTATAGTATTTAGATCAGAACCAATAATTATAGATCCTCGTTCATGGAATGATGAATTATTGAATACTCTATTATAAGTTGGATTAGAGAATTAGAAAGTTTCTATAATATTCAATGATTCATAATTATAATAATCATATATGTGGGAAGATATATGCAGTTTATTAAGTCATGGCGAAGTAACTCATTTGTTTACACCAGAAGAGAGATTAAAAATATAAGAAGAAATGACATTTTAAAAGTTTTTATAGATATGTAAATTTAATGTGCATGTTATTTTATGTATGTAACCAGTTACAGAATTATATAGAAAGAGATTAAGAACATTTCCAACTATTATTAATTGTGCTACTATTGATTGGTTTATGGATTGGTCAAATGAAGCATTAGTAACAACTGCTGAAGAATTTCTACCTAATAATTCTTTAGTCAATGTTGCTGTTAATATACATTGTAAAGTATAAGAAATAACAATTAAATATAATTCTGAATAAAGAAGATAATTTTATGTAACACCTACATAATATCTATAAATGTTATAAACATTTAAACGACTTTAAAGAGAAATAAGTGAATAATCATTAGCATTAATAGATAGATTTGAATCTGGTATAGAAAAGATTATTAAGACTTAAAAAGAAGTAGATAAAATCAAATTATAATTATTTGAATTATAACCTTAATTAGAATAAGCTACTCTTGAAAATTAAAAGTTATTATAATAAATAAAATTAAAAAAAGAAGAAGCTGATTAAAAAAGAAGATTATGTGAATATGATGAAATGATTTGTTAAAAACATAGAGATTAAGCAACTGAATTAAAAAATATTTGTATAACAGAATTAAATAAAGTTTTACCACTTTTAGGTTAAGCAACAGAAGCATTAGATAAAATTACAAAAGATGATATGATTTAATTAAAATCATTTACTAATCCTCCTTTATCAGCTGCTGTTGTAATGGAAGGATTATGTTATGCATTTTAAGAAGATGAGAAAGTCAAATCAAAAAATAAAGAATTACCTGTTATGTAAGATTATTGGGATTATGCAAAAAAATATTTATTAAATGAAAAATTAATTAAGAGAGTTAAAAAAATGAAACTTGAAGAAATAAGAGCTATTAAATTACAAAATATATAAAAATTATAGATTTTTATTCTTAATCCATTATTTGAAAAAGAAAAAGTATTTAATGCATCTAAAGCAGCTGGTAATTTGGCATAATGGATTAGAGCAGTTTTAGAAACATATTAAGCTGTTGAAATAATAGAACCAAAAAAAGCATAATTAGCAGAAGCTGAAAAAAAATTAAAAGAAGCTGAATCTGATGTATAAATTAAAAGAGCAATATTAGAATAATAATTAAATGAACTTAAATAATTTGAAAAAGAGTTTGATCGAGCTAATTAAGAAAAATAATTAATTTAAAAGGAAGTAGAAACTATTGAAAAATAACTTAATAAAGCTGAAAAGTTATTATTTGGATTGTAAGATGAAGCTTAAAGATGGAAAAAGAAAGGATAGAAAATTAAAAATGAATAAATTGCTATTGAAGGAGATTGTATATTAAGTGCTTCTATTATTGCATATTTAGGAGTATTTCCTATCTAATATAGAGATGTATGTTAAAATTATTGGAAAAATCTTTTAAAATAGAATAATATCAAATTTTCAAATGATTATGCCATCACTAAATAATTATGTAATCCTATAATAATAAATAATTGGATTACATAATAATTACCTAATGATTAACTTAGTATTGAAAATGCAATAATACTAAAAGAATCTACTAAATGGCCATTAATGATAGATCCACAATTATAAGCTAATTAATGGATTAAAAATATGGAAGATAGTAAATATTTACTTATTTTAAATGCAAATTAACCAACATAATAAATTTAATTATAATTAGAACATGGAATTTAAATTGGTTATGCAGTTTTATTAGAAAATGTAGGATAAACACTAGATCCATTATTTGAATCATTATTGTAATAAAATGCAAAATCTAGATCAAAAAGAGCAACAATGAAATTAGGAGATAAAATTATAGATATATCTTCTGATTTTAGATTCTATATGACTACTAAATTAAGTAATCCTCATTTTTAACCATAAGTATGTGTTATGGTTAATATGCTTATATTTTAAGTTACTTAAGATGGTTTAGTTGATTAATTACTAAATATTGTTGTTAAAATTGATGAACCATAAAAAGAAGAACAGAGATTAAAAAATATATAATAATATTTTTAAAATAAAGATAAGTTAATGTAAACTGAAACTTTAATATTAAAATTACTTTCAGAATCGACTGGAGATCTTTTAGAAAATGAAGATTTAATCTAAACACTTTCTAAATCAAAAGATGAGAGTATAGCTATTGAAGAAAAGTTAAAAAGTTTGGAGTATGATAGAATAAGTTTTATGCAAATTAGACAATTCTATAAATAAGCAGCTGAAAAAGTTGCCAATCTTTATTTCATATTAAATGATTTAGCTGTTATAGAACATACTTATATTTGGTCTTTAGAATTTTATTTTTTGCTTTATACAAGATCTATTAGAGAATCATAAAATGAAAAGCTGAAAAGAAATTAAAATATAATTGATAAATTTTTATAAATTTTATACACTTAAATTAATAGATCACTATTAGAGAAAGATAAACTTATTTTTAGATTCTTATTATATGTAAAGATGATGAATATACCAACTGAATTAATAAGAGCTACTGTTATGGGATGTACTTTAACGATTTCTGATGTATAAATGCCTAAAGGATTTACATGGTTAACTAATAAAATGTGGTTAGAATTAGTTGATTTATCAAAATCATTTCCAAATATATTTGGTAATGTTTGTTCAGATTTTGTATCCTAAAAATAATTTTGGGATAGCTTTTATAGCAGTTCTAATTCTTATGAGTTATAAATAAGAGGATTAGATTAATTCTAAATGAATATGCTTGTGAAAATTATAAAACCTGAATAATTTATATCAGCTACTAATGAAATGATTAAATAATAAATGGGTAATCTATTTCTAGAAAACATACCAACTACTTTTGAATAATTCTATTTTGAATCTGATTCTAAAATTCCTTTGCTTTGCATCATTACTCCAGGAGCAGATCCAAGATAAGAAATCATTAAATTAGCAACTAAATATGATTTTAATGATCGATTTAACCAAATCTCTTTAGGATAAGGATAAAATTAATTAGCTATTAAAATGATTTTAAATGCTATGTAATAAGGTACATGGGTTTTATTGTAAAATTGTCATTTAGCTTCTACTTTTATGCCTGAACTTGAAAACTTATTTGAAATCCAATATAAAAAGGAAGTGAATTGCGATTTTAGATTATGGTTGACATCTCAACCAACTTCAATATTACCACATAATGTAATATTAAGATCTCTCAAAATTACATATGAATTACCAAGAGGTCTTAAAAATAATATGTTAAGATCATATTAATAATAAGAATCAGACAAATTTGAATAATCAAAAAAAATAAAAGAATGGAAAAATCTATTTTTTTCTTTATCATTATTGCATGCATGTTTATTAGAAAGAAAGAAATATGGGCCTTTAGGTTGGAATATAGGATACAATTTTTCATAACATGATTTTGAAATATCTAAAGAATAAATTCATTATTTTTTAGAAACTTATTAGGATGTTCCATGGGATGCTTTAAATTATTTAATTGCTGAAAACAATTATGGTGGAAGAGTTACAGATCCAATGGATAGAAAATTATTAAAAATTTATGTTAATGATTTCATCAATTCAAAAACCATTCAATAAGATTATTAATTTTATGATATTTATTAGATTCCTTAATAAATGAGATTATAAGCATATATGGATTACATTTCTTAATTTCCAATAAATGATCCACCTTAATTATTTGGTTTACATTAAAATGCTGAAATATATTCATCAATTTTAGAAACTGATAATTTAAGTTAAATTATTTTACAATTACTTCCTAGAACTTAAAGTGATTCTAATTAAAATCATCCAGACTAAATTGTTTATAATAAAAGTTAAGAAATATTAAAGAATTTGCCTTAACTTTTAGATAATCAACTTGCTAAATTAAAATTTTAATAAATTTTAGAAAATCCTTTAAATGCTATAATTCATTAAGAAATATCTAAATACAATAGATTATTAACAAAAATATCAGAATCTTTAAGTATACTAATTTAAGCATTAGATGGTTTTATTAATATTTCTGATTAATCAATAGATATATATAATTCTATATTTGATAATAGAATTCCAGAATAATGGTTAACTTATTCTTATTTAACAACAAAATCTTTAGGATCTTGGTTTAGTGATTTAATTAAAAGAACTCAATTTATTTATTAATGGATAAATTAAGGTCAACCTAAAATATTTTGGTTAGGAGGATTTTTTTTTATTTAAGGATTTCTAACTGCTGTTTTATAAACATATTCAAGAAAATCAAAAGTCCCTATTGATCAATTGAAATTTGAATTTAATTTTTTTTCTTAACCACCATAAATTATAAAAAGTGGTGTTTGTGTTGATGGAATATCAATAGATGGAGCTTAATTTGATTTTTAAGAGTAGACACTTATCGAACCTTAAAATAATGTACTTTTTTATCCTTGTCCTATAATTAACTTTTGCCCAACATAATAAAGAAAAATTATTAAAAATTATTCTTGTCCACTTTATAATACAACTTAAAGAAAGGGAATACTTACTTCAAATGGAATCTCAGTTAATTTCATTTGTAAAATTAAAATACCAATTAATAATAACAAAAATCATTGGTCTAAAAGAGGAGTAGCATTTATTGTATAAGCTAATTGAAATTTTAATTAATAAAATATTTGATATTTTAAAAAAATACATTTATAAACTTTAATATTTTAATGTATTTTTATATATTCTTTATTTTGATTCATTCTCAAGGATTCGAATTGTTTATTGAAAAAGATAAGTAATATTTAATAGCAAATGATAATTACATTGATCCACGATTTAAATAAGAATCTTTATATTAAACCCAATGTCATCCTTCTAAATTGCATTTAGAATATTCAAATGAAAAATATACTAAATTCATTTTCCATAATAATTAAGAAAAACAAATTAATTTAGTAATATAACCTCTAATTTATGATGCAGATGTCTTAAATATTTCGTAAAATACAATTTAAAAACCAGAAAGGATTGAACCAAATTAAAAAGAATAATTTATTATCAATTTTGAATGCAAAGCATTAAAAGATTAAATTTCTTGGAGTTTAATAATATTGGATTTTACAGTTTTTAACAATCAAAATGATTCTCAATCATATTCAATTTAATTTTATAAATAATGTTAGCAATCAGAATATTTTTTACACCCATTAATACTTTTATTAATTCTAGCAGTATCATTATTAATAATAGGAACAAATTACGGAGTATAAGAAATTAAAATGCTTGAGTAAATAAAGACAGAAGAATTTAATACTAAAACATCAGTATTATTTATTTTATCTGCAAGTATATTGTTATTTAGTCTATATAAATTTCCATCTATTGGATAAATGTAAAAAATTATATAAATATTAGAGTTTTGAGCATAGTAATATTTTTTATGGCAATTTTAAGTATTTAAATTATCATTGAGGATTAATTATAAAAATTATTGGGTTCAAATATACTAATAAAAATAATTTCATATTTGATAGGTATTATTATTGTATTATCATATTTTTATACAAAAAATTGGATAATAAACAATATAATAGCATTTTTAATAACACTATTAATGTTTAAAGTGAGTATTATAAATAATTTTAGATAATTGAAATAGATAGTTTTAGAACAGCAACATTATTGTTGAGTTTAGCTTTTATTTATGATATCTTTTGGGTTTTTATAAGTCCATTATTTTTTGGAACTTCAGTTATGGCTTAAGTGGCTACATAAATAGATTTACCAATGAAATTCATATGTCCTTCTCTAATCAAATCATATAATACTCCTTTAATGAGATGTTCATTACTTGGTTTAGGTGACATTTTGTTACCAGGAATTGTTATCAAATATATTCTAAAATTTGAAAATTTAATAAACAAAGGTTAATGTATGTATATTACCTCAATTATCGGATATTGTTTAGGATTATTAACATGTATGCTTTCATTAGTAATTTACTAATAAGCATAACCAGCACTATTATATTTAGTTCCTTTAATATTGATACCAGTTTTGATTGTTAGTGTGATAAAAAAATAGTTTTATTCTTTGTGGAGAGGATAAATATTTAAAACGTAGAAATCTGCTGGAGTTTATGAACTGTAATAAAGTGAACAAGTTTGATTTAATATATTATATCAAAAATATCAAATAATTCATATTTATAAAAAATAATATAGAATTATTTATCAAGAAAAATAAAAAAAGTTAATTAAAATACANACGGAGTATAAGAAATTAAAATGCTTGAGTAAATAAAGACAGAAGAATTTAATACTAAAACATCAGTATTATTTATTTTATCTGCAAGTATATTGTTATTTAGTCTATATAAATTTCCATCTATTGGATAAATGTAAAAAATTATATAAATATTAGAGTTTTGAGCATAGTAATATTTTTTATGGCAATTTTAAGTATTTAAATTATCATTGAGGATTAATTATAAAAATTATTGGGTTCAAATATACTAATAAAAATAATTTCATATTTGATAGGTATTATTATTGTATTATCATATTTTTATACAAAAAATTGGATAATAAACAATATAATAGCATTTTTAATAACACTATTAATGTTTAAAGTGAGTATTATAAATAATTTTAGATAATTGAAATAGATAGTTTTAGAACAGCAACATTATTGTTGAGTTTAGCTTTTATTTATGATATCTTTTGGGTTTTTATAAGTCCATTATTTTTTGGAACTTCAGTTATGGCTTAAGTGGCTACATAAATAGATTTACCAATGAAATTCATATGTCCTTCTCTAATCAAATCATATAATACTCCTTTAATGAGATGTTCATTACTTGGTTTAGGTGACATTTTGTTACCAGGAATTGTTATCAAATATATTCTAAAATTTGAAAATTTAATAAACAAAGGTTAATGTATGTATATTACCTCAATTATCGGATATTGTTTAGGATTATTAACATGTATGCTTTCATTAGTAATTTACTAATAAGCATAACCAGCACTATTATATTTAGTTCCTTTAATATTGATACCAGTTTTGATTGTTAGTGTGATAAAAAAATAGTTTTATTCTTTGTGGAGAGGATAAATATTTAAAACGTAGAAATCTGCTGGAGTTTATGAACTGTAATAAAGTGAACAAGTTTGATTTAATATATTATATCAAAAATATCAAATAATTCATATTTATAAAAAATAATATAGAATTATTTATCAAGAAAAATAAAAAAAGTTAATTAAAATACAAAAACTAATTGATTTATCCAACAAAATAGTAATATTGATACATTAAATGATGATGAAAATATCTTTAATAGATGTATTCAAAATTCCAAACCCATTTATAAATTTCATAACATACAAATTTATTTCAAGTTTAGACTAAGAGATTACCCAAAAAATAAATTTTTATAGACAACAGTGAATCAAACTGGATGATTAAAATAAAAAAAATAATAAAAAATTGTAATTTTGGTATTTTCTTAATTATTTTTGATTAACAATAAATAAATTCTCGAAAATAGATAATTAAGATTATAATTTATTATTATTAATTTTTTACTTAACTCATGTAAAGCCAAACTTTACCAAATATATCTGCTAAATCACCTTAATCGAAATAGAAAACATTAGATTCAATGTTAAATGGTCAAATAAGAATTAAATAACCAAAGGATATATCTTTCAAAACATTACCTAATAATAAAACCAATATTTCCTTTCTCAAAAATGAAAAGTTCGAAACACGTTAAGATGTATATTACAATATAACTTTTAGTAATATTATAGTTCACCCTTATTAACTAAATCTTAAATAACAGAAGTAGATTTATAATGCAGATAGAGCAGAAATGATTTTTATTCTTAAATGATAAGTGAAAATCCTTATAAATATAATGAATATAGTGAAATTGATTAAGAATATAATAGAAGTATAAATAAATGTTGAACCATTAGAAATATCAGACATAAATGTTAATTTGTTGGATATTAGAAATAAAGAGAAAATTAAAGAATTCTTATAAGAATCAGTTTCTTTTTCTAATCAACTCTCTAATCATACTTAAAAATTAAAAAAAGTTAATGTACTCACTCAAAGATAAGATGTTATAAAATTAGCTTAATGGCTTGATTATTAAATGTAGTAAGTAGTTTCAAATAAAAAAATGATGTAATAATAATAACTAAGAGAAATTGAAAAGATATTTAATTTGAGTTTAAAAGAGTTAGTCCGAGAAATATCATTAGATTGTGTTGAAAAAAGGTATAATCTCATCAATAGGTAGTGTGTTACTAGAAAAAATATGGAATTAGTATGTTAGCTATAATACATTTCTTTTAAAATCGATAGATGATGAAAAGAACAATTCAGAAAATGAATATTTATAGTAACTAAAATCAGTATTTTATATTTATATTTTTAGTTACATTAAACATATTAAAGTTCAGTTAAATTTTTGGAGGATAAGTTAAGATAAATAGATGAAGAATTTAATTAATTAAGTACTAAATTTGAGAGAAAGAAATTTAAACTCAAAAACATTAAAGATAATTTTATAAACATCTAAGAATAAAAAAAAGAGATGGAATAAGAAGTTGAATATCTTAAAAATTAAAAAAGGGATTTATTAGTGATCAAAGAATCTTTATAAAATTAAGTTGAAAATCTGATGACAGAAAATGAAAGACTATAAATTGCAATATATTAAAAATCTTAAGAGTTAAGAACAGCTAAAACTAAACGTTATTCTTAGATATCTTTAGATAGTTGTTTTAGTGAATAAAATCATAAAGGAACAACAATGGATGATTTTTTATAAATTATGTCAATCAAAAAAGAAAATTATACTTAAACTTTGTATTATGATAAATTACAATTATCTACTGCTATTTAGACAGATATTAAATTTATTTTTCATTAAGGTACTTAAACAGGTTTGTTACATAATGATGAAAATTATTAATAATAAAATTAGGAAAATAATTAATATCTCAAAAAATTATAAGATTAAAAATATGATTTAGAAGAAAAACTAAAATTGTCAAATAATATTATATCAGAATTACAGAGGAATAAATAAAATTTAATTAGAGATTAAGAAATTAATAATCATAAAATATCAACATACGTAATTATTTAATAATAATTAGGAAATTTCATTATCAGCTCTTTAAAAGGAAATTGAAAGACTTTAATCTGAATTATAGGCTTTATTATAAAGTAGATAATAAAAGAAGAGAACTATAGTATCTCTTGAAGAAAATAATGGAGAGTAAATGTCTTTAGGTCCAGTTAAGGAACAATAAAATACTACTACTACTAATACATTAGAAAAATAAATAGATAAGAAGGGCTTGAATAATTAAAAAACCAAAATACAAAATTCAATTCAAACTTAAGGAAATGTTAAAAATGATAAGAATGATAAGATTTCAGGATAAAATAGCAATTTAATAAGTGGTGGTGCAAGTTAAAATAATTCTTCAAATTAAACACCTTTAAATAAAGAAATAACAAATAATAGTGTTTAAAAATTATCAACATAAAATTAATTTAATTAATCTAATTAATAAAATTAATTTATTTAAAATCATTAATAATAATAAACTAAATAAACATTCCATTCAAAAAAACTTTCTGATAATTCTAAAACAATGTCTAATAATGTTGGCTAAAATTAAAAATAAATTAAAGCTCATAATAATAAGAAGAGCAATTCTGAATAAATAAATCTTTAAACTAATGTATAATAAAACAATTAGATTAATTAAAGAGAATAAAAACTAAGTAAAATTAATAAATAATTTAAAAGATCTTGATGCTAATCAATAAGGATAAGTAGAAAAATCAATAGATCCATAAAATAAAGAATCAGATTAGCTGAATTCATCATTAATTAGAAATACTTTGTTAAATTTAAATGATGTTAATAATGAAGATGAATAATTCGGAGAAAATTTAATTGAATAAAATACTAAAAATGAATATACATTTAAAAGATCTAGTACAAAGAAATTGTCATATAAATTTAATAATGCACAAAATTCCCAAAATAATTCAATTTATGTTAATTAGCGTAATGATATGTAATATTTTTAGTTTAAAGAAAAGGATCATATTTGACACCTCTAGCTCCAGAAACTAAAACTATCAGAGATAAAGAATATTAGCTAAAAGAAACAGCTTTAGAATTCATTAAATAATTTATTTAAACTAATAAGTATATCCTTTATTTAATTAGTTTATAAACTCCAGAAAATATAGAGTAAACAATGCAATTATAAAATGTGTTTAAATTGATTACATAATTTTACAAAGAAAGATTAGATAAAAAACAACCAATTTATGTTATTTGCTACGAATTTTACATGAATACATTTGGTTTAAAATAAATAGCAGAAAATAAATTAACAATGCTTTGTTAAGCAGTAATATTTTTTAGAAACATTCCAAGAGTTAGACTATTCTCTAGATTTCTATAAATTTAAGATCCTATTAATGATGAAGATTTAGAATTCTATTTCTCAACTATATAAAATTTGGATCGATCATAGAAATCAGAAAATTTGATCTCATGTACTCCAAATCAAGAATGTGTCCTAGTTTTATATGATAATGCATTAGATCAATTAGCTGTACTTGATGAACATTTAATTGAAATACAATCTAAATTTAAGTCTTACATTTAAATAATTAATGGATCTAGATTTATTGTTTAGATTTATTTTTTATGGAATCATTATAATAATTCTAATTAATGAAAAAAATTCATTAAGATAATTTTAAGGAATTATTTTAGGCAGTTGATATTAATGATGATAATTCAATAAGTGTAGAAGAATTTACTATTTTGCTTAACTTAATTGAATAAGAATTATAAAATTAGTAATTTTTTATTTAAAAATTTATTGAAATCTGTGCAAATTAAGATGGACTCTCTTTCTATTAATTTGGAATGTTTTGTATGTCAAATTAATTATTTCAAAAAGACAAATAAGATATATTTTTGTAATATAATTCTGATAAATTTACATAATTATAATAAAAATGGAATGAATATAGAAAATAAATGACTTAAAAATTAAAAGAAAATTTAGTTTTTACTGATTATTATTAGAATTTAATTCGCAAACTTGATAATGTAATTATTTAATTCAAGACTTTAGGCACTAAAAAATGAACTTCCATATTCTTGGTTACTATGGCGAATATTAGAAGAACAATCTAAAAGACTTATATCATCAAGTAAATGATTGAATTACTTTATCACTTGAACACTATTTGAAATATACAATTATAATATATTTCTATATTAAATAAAATTATTCATAAGTCTATTAATATAAAAATATCTGAATTTTAATTTCTAAAAATATTGTTTGAGAGTAAATTTATATATTCTAAGGATTTATTCAAATATCTACAATCCAGGGAATTATTGAGTCTTAATTAACTGAATGAATTCGAAAACGAGGTTATCTGTCTATTTAATTGAATTTTGGTTTGCAATATTTTTACAAATAATTTCTTCTTAATTCGTTGAAATCAGAATTATCTGAAGAATCACAAAAAATGGAACTAACTTATAAATTGTTATTAGTTATCATAGGTTTGGATAACTTTTATTCATCAATTGATTATGCTCTTTTATTTATTGTTTTCATAACGAAAATAGGTTTTTGAAAGCACATTGATGTATTTGCAGATGAACTTTCATGCACAATAATATTTTTGGATTTCTTTTAATATAACTTATTCAGATTAAGTGGTATTTTTATTTATTTTTGTAGACTTTAAGTAAAATTTAAATCTAAAGTTTTTTTTCCAAAAGGATTACTATTACAAGTCTGATAATTTCTTCTTAAAGGCTCTCTTAATGGAAATTGTTTATTTCTTACCAAAGAATTTAAATGTTGATCAGTTTAAAACATATGAAAAATAATATTAAATAAAATCAAAAATATTGTTGCTACTTATTTCTAGAGTTAGGTTTTGATTTATTATTAGTAAATGTTTATTTAAGAAGATTTTCAAAGTTTGTTTGTAACTAAAGATTTGTTAAACCTTATTTATTAACTAAGGATTTTTTAACTAAATTTTCCATCGTACTTTTTGAAATTAATATATTACTGTCTTTTTCTCCATATTTTGAGAAATAAAATGAACCAGAGAACATTGGTTAAAATATTAAGTTTTGTTTTTGTTCTTTTTAAATTTATTCTAGAAAATTTTTATCATTTTGATTCATTGATTTAAAATTCAATTTAAAAAGATCAGGAATATAAGGAGGTTTGACTTATTTATTTATAAATTAAACAACATCTATATTCTTAAACCATTTATGTTAAAGAATATCATCAATTCCATTTTTTGCTCCTAATCTTTTGGATGGATCTTTTATCATTAATTATCTTATTAAATCTTTAATATCTGTACTTAAAAATTCTGGGAATTCAACTTATTCTTTAAGTAACCTTTTGTATATAATATTTTAATCATCAGCATAAAAAGGAGGAAGCCCTGTAACTAATTCATATAATAGACATCCTAAACAATAATAATCTAATAATTAAGTATGTCCAGAATTCTAAAACATTTCTGGAGCCATATATTCAGGGGAACCACAAAATGAATAAGCACAACTCTCTTTCTTCATATGAGGTCTTGCTAACCCAAAATCTGCCAATTATATATGTCCTTTTGAATCAATTAAAATATTTTCAGGCTTAATATCTCTATATATTATTTATTCATTATGCAAAAAACCAATTGCCAATATTACTTCAATTAAATAGAATCTTGCTTGCTATTCAGATAATTTTTGAAGCTTTTTAATATAATTAAACAATTCGCCACCAGGACAATAATCTATACAAAATACTATCCAATTTTTTGTTTCAAATGCATATTCTATTTTATTTGTAAATATGGCTCCTTTTTAAGTTGTTTAAATTAAGATATCTCTTTCATTCTAAATTAAGTCTTACTTTTAATTCTGTTATATAAATTGTTTGTTAATTAATTTCAATGCTACAAATTTACCATCTATTAATGATCTTGCTGATACAACTGTTGAGAATCCTCCTCTTCCAATGACAGAAATAAATTAAAATGAATTTAAGTTAACTTTTGAATTTATAATGTTTGTCGTGCTTGATATTGGTTTTAATCTTATGGTTTTATTTACAAATAAATCCATAGGCAAATTAGGTAATGAAATGTAATAGTCTAATTATAAATTGTCGTCTAGAGATTAGAATGCTATAATGTCATTATTATTTATTTTTAATTTTATCATGGAAACAAATTAATCAGTTGAAATATTAGATGGAAATCTATAATTTTAAGCTTAATCTTAACCTACATGAAGATTGATAGAAATTTCTTAAGTAGTTATTTAATCTTGAGACGAAGATTTAGTAAGTCCAGTTTAAACTGTAGTAGCAATAAGCTCTTCTATACTATTATTTCTCCTTGTCATAGAACCTTAAATAGGTTTAAGCTATTAATTATTGTAATTTTGAAAGTTTTTATTTTTTTGAGTTTAAAGGAGATTAACTCCTCGAGTTAATTAAAAGAAATTGTCATTTTGTATTCTAAGTTACTTAGTAGAAGATCCAAACTTATCTTTAGATAAAGATTTTTAAGATTTTTGCAAACTATTGACTCTATCTGTTAAACTGCCATAATTAGGTTTTGTAATATAGTTTGATTTAACAACAAAATCTTCAATGAGTCCTTGAGAGATTTTTCTATTAGGGAAACGTTGAGGGGAAATTAAAGTATTTTTGGAAGTGAAAGGTTTCACCTGTTATGGAATTCGAGTAGGAGAAACAACAATCTGATGCTACATATAAAATAATTAATGTAATTGAAATTATACTTTTTTTCCAGCACCTAAGCTAAAAATAGTTAAGTGTATTTTTAGAATTAATATGATATTCAAATATAGTAAAGTTAGAAAACTCATAAGAAGATTTGTAAATAGATTTATTAAAAAAGTAGATTATTCTAATTTTGAAAAAAGTATAAAAATGCTATAGAGAAACATATATTTGCAACAAAAAATGTAAAGATATGCTGGACTTGATGAAGAAAATATAAAGTGAAATGCTTTTTTTGCTTTTAAGTAATTGAGATATCCTATTAAAACTCAGAAATATAATATATGGGCAGATAAAATAATTAATATTTTTATGATCTATGCATACAGATTTAGCTTTTTATTTGGCTTATATTCATCAAGCAAAAGTCAATTTTATATAAATTTATGTATCATTCAGTAATTAGTGTGAATATGTAGTTTGCGAGCTTTATTAAGGATAGATTTTAGAATATTATGTATGCAAAAAACAAAATAATCTCTTGATTTTGATTTATTGATAGTCTCTACATCCTAAACTTTTAATAAACTATCGAATATATGATAAGTATAATTAATATCTAATATAGTTTTAGCTGAATTAAAAAGTCTAAAGATCTACCTTTGAAAATGACACATAAAACATATGGGATATATGATCGAAAGATATAAGTGAACATATTAGATTTATTTCATTAGTAACAAATAAATCATCTAATATTATAATTTAATTTATGAGTCAGAAAAGGTAAGATGGCAGGAATCTTTTGTAAATGAGAAATATTGAATTTAAGCTTGCCATTGATCTCTCTGTTGATGGATCTTGCTTATATAAATAAGGATTAACTGAAGTTATTTGTTTAGTCTAAGGACCAAGAGCTGTAAATATATGGTTTATTAAAGAAAACATAATCAGAATTATTGCTAATTGAATATTCTGTTTCACCATTTAGTAATATTGAATCAAAAAGGAGTTCTAAATTTGATAAAGATTATTCAATGTTTGCTGAAAACCTTAAAGAATCTTTTGAAAATCTTATCATATTAGATGAAAATGGAAAATCAGAAATCTCGATTTCAGTCTGTGTTATATAAAATGATGGAAGTTCCAAAAGTGCTGTTTTTAATGCAATTACTTTAGCATTATTAGATGCTGGTGTTTCTATGAAAGATTTTCTTGTTTCAGTCACAGTTGGCTTAGATTAAGGCAATTTAATATTGGATTTGACTTAAGAAGAGAGTAAAACAGCTTAAGGTGAACTAACAATATCCTATCAGTCAAGAACATAGAAAATTGACTTTTATGAATTAAAAACATTAAAATTATAATAGTAGGAAATGGATTCATTAAGTAAATTAGCTGTGACAAAAGCAGATGAAATCTATTAATGGATGAAGGAAGAAATCTTTTAAATCAAGCAAAAATAGATAGATTTATGAATATTTATGTGTTTTTATATATATAATTAATAAAATATAATTATTATGCAATAAGCTATTCCAAGTTTAACACCTGAAATTAAAGAAAGACTTGAGAAATAAGGATATTAACCATTTAAATATAGACCATTACCTGATTATGCTAATCCTCATACACTCTCATGTATAAAAACATTTTTAACAAGATTGGCTTTCAAATGCTGGCCTTGGTGCTCTATGTCTTATTGGAAGACATTATGCATGTTAATAATAATCTATTAGAATCTTATGGTCAGCTGCTGCTGTAGCTATTCCTCTTTATGCTATTGCAACTAATGCAAAATTAGACGGCTTAAGATAAAATAATTTTTATAGGTTTTATTAATCATTCATTTCTTAGAAAAACTTTAGATGACAGACTTGAATTACATCCCTTAACTAGAAGAGCTTGGGAAAGAGCAAAGGAAACTCATAAAGAATATTAAGATTAATTAAGAGAACAAATAGCTACTTTAGAAGCAGAATTGAGAAAATGATAAATCACAACCAAATATATATATTATTAATCATTATATCCTTAGATTTTCAAATAATTAACACAAAATCTTATTTGATTGAACTATTCAAATATTGTTACCTATAATATATTCATATAAATATATATATCAAATGAAAATTGTATCATCTGAAGCAAGCAATTTTCATTTCAATTCTCATCTAAACTTATTTAATGCTGGATTTTAATTTGATATAAAATTTTATTAACCATAAAAACCAAGAAAAATCCTTAAATGTTCTAAACAATTCAGAATTTGTTACCATTTCTACTCCGACGTGATGAATACATTCCAGCCAAAATAGAAATTGATAGATTAACATAATTGGAAACAGTATAAATATGACAATCTAATGACTAGTGTATGAAGGAATTAAAAATTATTCAAACAAATAATGAAATTTATACCAAATAAATCATACGACGATAATCTATCGAAAGATATAAGTAAAAAAAACGATTTGGAAATGCTTTATAGATATATTAAGTTCGTAAAGTTATTGCAGAAAAGAGATTAAGAATAAATGGGTAATTTTTAACATAAAGTGAATCAGAAAAGATATTGTTGGCCAGGAACATTCTAGGAAAAAAAAAAGTTCAAATAATTAACAATAATGTGAAAATCAAAATTTCGAATGAAAAGCGAAAGGAAAACCTCATAAAATTTATTGATAAATTAATGCCTAATTAAATTTTATAGAAAATATAGAATAAATAAAGAATATTCAAAATTAAATGAGTTTCTATTTTTTATCCCTAAATTTACAAACTATAATATTTTCATATGCAATATTTCTTTTAAAATAAATACTTTTGTTAACATTATGTATTAATCATTTTTTTGAATTAACTATTATTTTCCTTTATTACAGATTTAGATATAATTATACATATTTTAGCTTTTATGAATATTCTAAGTTTCCGATTTTCAGTAAATCAGGCACATATTTAGAATTAAATAGAGTTTGTAAATTATAAAATAAATATGGAATATCTAGTAAATACAATTTACTTTTGTGATTTAACAATTCTTTTGGAAAATAATAAATTTACAATTTTGGATAATTAATATATATCCTTTATTAAGTTTTAGTTTTTTTTCTAAAATAATTTTTCTTTCTTCACACTTAATTTCCAATTATATATTTTTTTTGCATTTTTTTGTTTATTTATCTTGAAAATATGCTTAAGAAACAGAAAATACTTTCTTGAACAATATAAAATAAATTAATTTTTAAGTTCTTGTTAAACATTTTTCAATGAAAGTAGTTCGATAGATTGGATAATAGTTACCTTTTACTTAAGAATGAAATTAAATTTAATTAAAATTAGAGGAGATATATCATAACTCATCATTATTAACAAAGGTCCATCCTCCCAAATGAGCTTTGGATTCATCAACAATACTTTGCATATCAAATACATTGCCATCTATATGTGTATTTATTCTAATTTTTCTATTTGGTTTTGGTAATGGAAGTTCTCTATTGTAAACAGATTCCCAATCTACATTTAAAAAGTATTAATGGGCTTTAATTTCTTCAGAATTTCCTTTTCCTGATCCTAGTCTTTTAGCAGGATTTCTTTGCAATAACTAGATTTTAGTTAATTTTTTACTGCTTTAAGTAGATTTCTGGCTTCAAGTGAAATATAAGAAGGTATTTTTAATTATGCATTTTCAATATTATTAAATAATTCTTCTCTATTATTCGCATAATAAGGTGGTAATCCAACTAAAAGTTCGTACATTACAACACCTAACAAATACCAATCCACAGCTTTTCCATGTCCACTTCTTTTAAGCATTTCTGGTGCAAGATAAGCAACTGATCCGCAAAATGATCTAGCCCCTGTACTTGGTTCTAAAATACCTTCTTTTGATAATCCAAAGTCGGTTAATAAAGCATGACCTTCACTATCTAATACTATATTATCTGGTTTTAAATCTCTAAATATAATATCTCTTTTATGTAAATCTTCCAAAGCAAGAATAATTTCACATAAATAATTTTTAACAACATTTTCTGGAAGTCTCTTCTATTTTTATAAAACCTCTCCTAAATCACCACCTGGACAATAATCTAAAATCATGAAAAGTTTATCTTATGTTTAGAATGCATATCTAAGTTTCACTACAAATGGATGAGATATAATAGATAAGACATTTCTTTCAGTTAATGCATATCTGGTTAAGTTTTATTCTAATATAATAAAATAAAAATTTTACTCATAATTCTATTTTTATGAAGTACTTTCATTGCATACAATTAATTATTTTTTTAAACTAAATAAACTTCTCCAAAGCTACCTTTGCCTATTAATCCAATAACTTAAAATTATTAAGGACCAATTTTTTCTTCTTCTTTATTTTTAATTGAATCTGAATTAGTAGAAACCGTTGTTGTTAGTTGTTATTTAGATGAATGAGTTGAATTAATTTTATTAAATCTTTCTTATTTAATATCTTATTAAGTTCGATTATTTGGAGAAGATGATTGTTTATTTACATAAGTTAAGTTTTTGCAAGAATAACTTGTTAATTAAGTTGGAGTTTGAATAGAGAATTAATTTGATTGTTATTATTATTACTGTTATTGAGAATTTAATTCACCTCTTTTATACTGAAACATTTTCAATATAACATCATTTTATGTATTTTAAATTTAAATCATATTCATTCTTTATTCTAAAATAATTAATTTATTGGCTTACATATTTTTTTGAAATCTTCATTATAATTTTTAAATAAATTTTAAATTTCTTCTTTAACAGCATAAAAATCAGGTGTTTTATTTTCTTTATTTAATTTAAATTAGATAGATTATCTTTTCAAAAGTATTTGTACAATAGATTTATAATTATTTTTACAGGCATAATGTAAAGATGTATTACCTAAAGAATCTTAATAATTAATATCTGCTCCAGCATTCATAAGAATCATAAAAACTTCTTCTTGGCCACTAAATAAGTTGAATATATTACTGAATGGCAGCTAAGAGAAGAGGAGTCATACTATCTTTATTAGGCAAATCAATAGAAATCTATTTAAATATTAAGGCAGAAGTCAATTAAGCATTTCCATTTTTTGATGAATAATGTAAAGCTGTATTATCTGATATATCTTTTGATGATAATGACGCTCTAAGTTCTGGATTAATTTTTTGTCTTGGAGGTAACTTAACTAAATTTAATTAATTATTTACGAATGTTATGAACTAGCGTTGGTTCTAACAGTTAAAGACATCCTCCAGTATTATTGTTTTTGCTTTCCTTTATAAACCATTAGTTTAATTATTTTTTAATATCTTATAATTCTGTTGTTCTAGGAGATACTGCTTCTACAGTTTTTATTATACCTTAACTTGAAATAGGAATATTTGGTTCATCTGCTTGACTTGTTTATCTTTTTGAACCTGATATTTTCCTGTTTTAAAAAAAAGGCAATAGTTTGTTTTAAGAATGAGAACGATCAGTTGAAGATTTTATCTACTATTTTAATTATGAGACTGGTTTGGGACTCATTATTTTTGAAGTATTAGATTAAGATTTAGCCTAACTTATTCTACGATTATTGGCATCCTAAATTTGCTTTAATTTATCCAAATATTCTTATAGTGTTGGTTTACTGTTGCTGTTAATATTCATTTTTGGATTTCTGATTTATTAATAATAAAAAATTCAAATTTTTAACATTAACAAAAATGAAAGTGATTCAAAATCCAACACAATATTTCTTTGAATAATCTAATAATCCATCTAATGAGTATTCAGATAAGATTAATGCATTCATTGGAAAATTAATTAATCATAAATCATGTCTATTATGCAAATAAGACTACAATATTAAAGATAGATTGCCTAGAATATTAATTCATTGTGGACATACAATTTGTACATAATGTTTAAACAATTTCTATAGGTTAGTTTTATTATTTTAATGAAGTATAGAAATAGAAGAGTTCGATGTCCACTCTGTTTAAAATTAGTTAAACATTTAGATTCAATTGACAGATTGCCTGTATAGAATTTTTATTTATATAGATAAACCACACGATCTTTAATAAAATGGCTGAAGAAATTAATAAAAAAAGTAGATTTCATGGAGGAACTGATGTTATAGATCCATAATAATATTTATTCACTTAATTTTAATAATCAGCTGTTTAAGCTTAAAAAATTAGATAACAATAATAAAATCAATATCCTCAAATAGATCCTGATTCAGGACTTGAATTTTGTGAATTTCATAATGATAGAGTAAAACATTTCTTTTGTATGAAACATAAAATTACTTGTTGCAGAGTTTGTTCTGATATGATTCATTAAAAAAAAGTAATAGTTAATATTATTTTTATAAGGATTGTATTGTTGTAGATCTTTATGAAATTGAAGATGTTCCTGCATTTTTAAAAGAAGCATATAAATTAAATTAAGAAAACAATTGTTAAAATAATAATATTGAATTCTTACCTGGTATTATTCAATTTTTAAAATAGATGATGATAACAATTTTAATGATGATGATTTGGAAGGAGAGTTTGCTCAAAATGAAAGTCTAAAAAGCTTATGATTATAATTAATTATATATGTATCTTGGATACTAATATTGAGGACCTTAGTTTGGTTATTTATTAGTATTTTAAACTTATTTGAATTCTTCAATCTAATTAATTTAAGTCCTTTATTTTACTTATAATTTTATTTTACTTATAATTTTATTTGACTTTAATTTATCTTGTTACTTGATATCCATTTAATTTACGACCACTTAAAACAGTCTCAGCAATTATTTATCTTGAATTAAACTATTTTATTAACTAATAATACATCCTAATCAATAATTTAAATAAACTTCATTTTCGACTTTAATTAATTATATTTACACAGGTATCTCCTTAAAAAATTAATGATTTATATTAATTTTTTTGGTGATTAATGAAACTAAAAGATTCTAGAAATTAAGAATTTTAAAGTATTTTCAATATTAATATATTGTTAATATAATATTATTAATAAATGGAAAATAATACAATTTAAAGAGGAAATTTAATAGGTCTATTGGTTTTGTTAAATGATTATTTATTTAAATTTATATTTATAAATTTTCATTTTTTGCATTTACAAACTTTGCCTTTTTTCTGATTATAACCAGTTCCACCACATTTAGGACATATGCCTGCATGTTTATAACAGTCCTTACAATATTTTTGTTTTCCCTTTTTATAAACTTTACCAGTTCCATGACAACTACACTTAAAAATAATTTAATTACTCATGACAATTGGGGTTAAATTTAATTTATATTACAGCAATCTATTAAGGTGGATAGCCAGGTTATGGATGAGGATATCCTGGTTAAGGAGGATATCCTGGTTAAGGTGGATAACCTGGTTAAGGTGGATACCCTTATTATGGAGGATAACCTTATTATGGAGGATAACCTTATTATGGAGGATAACCTTATTATGGTGGATATCCTTATTAAGGAGGATATCCTTATTAAGGAGGATAACCTGGTTAACCTGGAATGCCAAATTATTAAGGTTAAGGTGGGTAGCCTTATGGTTAACCATCTGGCTTAAATTCAATTATAACGCTTAATTCTCCAGCAGGTTTTCCTTTATACATCAAAGGTATTGCTCCTTAAAATTGTCTTGTTTATTCAACTTATGCAATAGGAAAGGATGCTTAACCAATCATATCATTTTTTGAAGCTTAATCATACTAAATAATATATTATTGATTTACATCCCAAACTTCAAAATCAATCACATTTTCATATGTCTTTCTATAAGTAATAACATCATTCCAAACAGGTGTTTTACCAGCTTCATTAGCAACAGATGTATTTTATTTTTAATTTCCCATTTTAACAATTACAAATGGATCCTAATAAATGAATTAATTTATTAGGTTACCATCTTTCCAAATATTTCAGTATCTCTTTTCAAGTTTGCTCTAAATGGTCTTATGATTAATGTTCCTTACATTTAATAATAATGAAATGATATGACATTTTCATTATATTTATTGATAAAATCATGAATCACAATAATTCAAATATAAAATAAAAGACAAGAAAAAGTATAAAAGTTCTGTTGTAATATTTTTCTATTATTAATATGTTGAATAATATTCATTTAACAGTTCCTGGTGGACCTGCATCTCCTAAAGCTTTTACTTTTTCCATTAAAGAATCATCAACTACAGTACCATCAACATTTTTTAATGTATTTATTCTTTTAAGAACAAGTAATTTAGGTTCATCTTTTTAATTTTCATAAATAGGATTACCTTATTATTTAAATGAAAATTATACCTACAAAAAGTACATTAGCTATTTCTGGGAGATCTTTCAATTTATCAACTTCATCCCACACTTTAATTCTATTATTACCAATATATAATGTATGCAATTTTATACAAGGTTATAAACCATCAAGTCTTTCTATATAATTATAACTTAACCATAGTTCTTTTAATGTTTATCCTATTTCTTCTAATCCAGCTATTTTCTTTATATTGTTTCGTGATAAAGATAAGATTTCTATCTGTCTTAAACCAGGTAAATTCACCATTTTTTCTATTGCATTTGAAGAAAGTGATAGACGTTTCACTTTAGCTAAAGTATTTAAAACTGGAGGATCCAATTTATCAAGAGGAGGATTTTAGAACATCAATCTAATATCTTCTGCTTCTGATGGTTGTTCACCTGGATGTTCTTATTCCCAATTTTATAGAGCTTTTGCACAAGTTGTCTTTGCCATTTTATTATTTATATAAAATTTAATATTATATTTTTACCTTCAAAAACTTACTTTAAATACTTATATATTCAGATACTTATGTACCTCTAACCATTTAAAATTCACTTTATAATTGTATTGCGTTTCTAATATTTAAATTATTACTTATTCTTATAAAATAGGTTAAATTTTATCAATTATCTAACCTATTAGATTTAAATTCTTTTATTACCATTCTTATTAGTTTAAATCTAAGAAAATCTAAAAAAATAATTTTAATTACTGATAAAATTATCAAGACTTAAGTTGAGTTTCGAACTTTTGGAATATATATGAAATTTGTTAGTAAATTATGAATATCAATTTAAGTTCGTGGAAGTTAGAAAATGCTTTGATTGGCGATTGATAATATAAATTTTCATAAGCAATCATTAATTATATTGGGTGATAATTTTTTTGGAGAGAGAAGTTATTGTTTCATTAAAAAAATATGCTAAATATTCTTTTAAGATTTTTATCTACATTTTTATTTTACTAACTCTTATTATGAATTTAGGAATGAGTAAAGAAAATTATTTGAATGATGATAAAAGCTAAAATAAAATAATCTTGAGAAAATAATAAAGTTAGATAAAAAAATGGCAATTTCGATATTAATATAAATATCCTAAGTATTTTAAATTTCAATAGAAATATAGCAAAAACTGAAAATTAGAATCTCTTAGGATATATTCATAAATTAATAGTTCATATTAAAATGAATATATTTTGTGTTATTTTTGGAGACCCATAAATTAAGAATATTTTTTAAAAAATTGAAGTAGAGAGGCTTAATTATCTTAAAGCTAAGAATTAGGATAATTTGGAAATTGATTTGTATAAAGCATGCCAATTACAAATTTTATTAAACAAGATCAGTCCTAAATAAGTAATATTGAAAATCAGAAAATGTGACTTTTAAGAGAATATAAAGAAACATATTAGATTAAGTGGACTCATTCATAAAGTTAAAGATTTTAAAAGATCTAATATAGATAAAATATAATATATGAAATAGAAAGCCATGATGAAATTTAAATAAAAAAATATTAGGTGTAAATTTATTAATAAAAGTTCGTTAACATAAGAAAATGCAAGATTAGATAAGTTGAATGAATAAGAATTAAAAACAGAATGTGAAAATAAAATATTTGAATTGCTTTAAGAAAATTCTGTTGAATTATAGCAAAAAATACGTAAAATTAAAAGATTTATTAAAATTGGATTAAAAGATAATCTGAATAACTATTAAATGTATTTGGAACATAAGTTCATATTTACAAATAGGCTAGAAATAGTAATGGATTACACAAAAATCAAAAATAAATAACAATGAAGCATTATTAAATAATTTAAGAAAGATTTTATAGTAATTAAATTATAGACAAACTATGAAATCAATTTTAAAACTATTAAATCAAATAATTCATAAAAAGGTTAAAAAATTTTTTAGGTTTCAAGTAAGCCTTAAATTTGAGCAATATTAATATTGATGATAATTTAATGTATGAATTAGATAAACTGTAGATCTAGTTTGTTGGTATGAACTAAGTTTAGAATAACAGAAAAAACCTAATCAATTAATCAACAAAAATCTTAAATAAGAATCTGAAAATTTTAAAATAGAATGAAAATGATTCGAATTTCTAATGTTATAAAGTAGGTCATCATTGTAAAATGTTATTTAGAGATGAATACTTAATATCATATAATTATAGAAGTGGTACTATGAGATTAGCAATTATAAATAAAATAATAATGGATTCTTATTTATTATCATAAAGCATTCATTCAAATAAATTAATAAAGTGAATTATGAACAAATAAAAAATTGAAGATAATTATCTCATAGAAAGAAAACTGATTATACTATATATTCAAAGAGATGATGAATTAATAATAAAAAGTTTTTTAGAATTTAAAAAAAATAAAACTATTATATAAAAATAAAAGAAGTTTGATTTTTTTTGATCATTTTATTGGGTCTTTCAAAATCAATGAATTAAATTAAAAGATCTTAGATTTAACTTTTGAGAAATAGTCAAAGATTTTAGAAATAGAAATCTATTAATAAAATAATAGAGAAGTTGTCTAATTTTTATAATATCAAAATAATGATACTTATAAGTTAATTTTAAAAACAATGAAATAAGATCAAATAAAAAAGCAATCTAAAAAATGTTAATTATATTATTAGTATATAATAATAGTATATGAATTATGAATCAACAAAGCAAACACTCCTACTATGCATTCATAGTACATTAAATACAAACATAATGTTTATTACAATGTCCTATTATTTGAGTATTCTATAATGTCATTAGGCATTGAGAACATAAATTATTATTTTTTTTCATATCATCTTTTGTAATATGTTTTTCTCCACATTAGTATTCAATTATTTTTCTTAATTAAATAAATTAAGATTCCAAGTAATTAGGTTATGAAGAGCCTTAAAATTTAGGAGGCCAATTAGGATCCATCAATAAAGTTGCAGCATTTGGTTCTGCTTCTTATATTTTATGCTATTTTCTTACTCTTTCTGCTGATGATGGCCGAGTCTTTTAAGTTTAATCTCTTAAAGTTATTAATTTTCTTATTAATTTTGCATTGCATCCTAATGTAGGACATACTATAGAGTATTTATTTCTAAAATAAATTTACAAACAATGTTCACAATATCTATGTCTACAAAAAATATTGTTGGCTAAATCTATTTTTGCTATCGAACAAACAGAACATGTTTTTAAAATTACTTTAACATCTAATTCTCCATATTCTACTACTCCAGAATAATTAATAAAACCATATTATTGAAATTCATCAACTATATAAACTAATTCTTTGGATCCTTTACCTATTTCTTTTGGATAATAATTTTTTTTATAATTCATTTTTACAAATCTAAATCCAGCCATTTCAATTAACTTTTTTTTATTAAGTTTTTTATAAGCTAATGCAAAACCCTCCAAACAAATTGATATTTTTTTATAAAATATAGACATTGCTATAAGAGGACTTAGACCTGCTTTCAATTTAGAAATTAAACATCTTAATTAATAAACAGTGTGACGAAAATAATAAATCTATAGACTCTATTTATTATGAAATGGATTTTTCTCCAAATATTCATAAATCTGAGTCAACATTAAAATTTACTTCCAAACTGCTAACTATTCAATTAATTCTAAGAATTATGCCGATTCGGCATTTTTGAATACTCTTAGGTATCCTTTACTAAAATTATATTCTAGATTTAATTTAGTCACTGGCACTATTGAATAAACACTAAGTACCATTTTTTTCTGTTATTATTTTAATTAATGTCTAAAAAATAAACTAATGATAATTCAGATAGATATAAAGGCGAGGCTGGTAATTTTCAATCTTTAGAAAGTGATGATGGTCCAGGACCTATGAAATGTATTTAATAAAATATAATATTTAGCTATTGAAGGATGGATTGTTATTGTAAAAGGTATCCATGAAGAAGCTTAAGAAGATGATGTGTTTGATGCCTTTAGTAAATATGGACCTATAAAAAATCTACATTTGAATTTAGACAGAAGAACTGGATTTGTTAAAGGGTACTATCATTTATTATAATATTTAATAGATATGCATTAGTTGAATTTAATGAATATACTCATGCATCTGATGCAATTAATGCCATTAATAAATCAGAAGGTATTTGTGGTAAAAAAGTTCAAGTTGATTGGGCTTTTAAAAAACCTCCCAAAAAAGGAGCATTAAAATAAACTAAAAAATAATGATTAAGAATTTATTTGGTTTTTAATAAATAAATAAGAAGTAGCAACATTATGAACAAATTTAGTTTTAGTAAAATAATGATGTTTCTTTCACTTCTTAGTAAATATTTAGTTGATAAATAATTATAATACATAACTAGGATAAAAATAATTATTATTCGAAATAATCTCTATTTATATGTGAAGTAATACTAAATTTAATTATAATTAAGATATTTTAATTTATAATTAGAGTAAATATATTGAAATATCATCAATCATCGATATTTATTCACACCGATTCTATATCATTTTCTAATAAATTCCTGCCTAAAAAGGTAGAATAATCAATTTAAGTATTCTATTTACTCTTTAACCTTCTTCTAAAAATAGGGTTCTTATGAATGATGTATTCTTCTTCTAAATCAAAAAGTGTTCTACGAGAAGTATGTTTAGAACTTTAATCTTAATCAGATTATTCGAATGTGGGAGTGGAAGGAGTTTATGGGGTTGATGACAAATTGAGTGTAAAATATGTTAAATTTTACATTGTATAATTAATAAATAATTATATATAGATTAATTTAAATTCAAATTTAATAGAAGACCTAAAAGGAATATTATAAATGAAAAAGAATATTCAGTTGAATATTTGAAACTATGTTTATGAGATGAATTTTTGTTTTTTGTTGAATTTTATACAAAATTATTGAATATATCTGAAATTCCTTTTGTATATTTATATTTTTTGGTTTAAATTGGAAAGGATAAAGTTTAAGGGCTCCATATTTGGGATGTTTTTTGGGAAATTATTTATTAATTTGATATTAATAGATAATAACACAATAGTAGAAGTATTTAATAAGTCATAATAATATTACTTTTTAATGAATAAATGAGAGAACTGGTATAAAGTTAAAAATTAGTATTTTATTTAGTAATATAAATCTGATAGTTTAATAAATAATTATAAAAATCATAGATATTTGTTATAAATTTGTAAAAGAGATAGATAATAAGATTTAAATTAATAATTGAAATATGTGAATTAATTAGATAATATTTTTTTTTTATAATTGTAAATATTGAATTAATACTTTAATAGTTTTAAGATGGAGATGATTAGATAATTATAAATGAATTAAGAAATATGAATAAGGTAATAAATTAATTAAGAATGATGAGACAAAGATTTATAAAAAGAGGAAATGATAAGTGATAATTTAAAATAGATAAATGAATAGATAAATATAAATAATGATTAAGATTAAATAATAAATAATAAATAGTAAATAATAAATAATAAATAGTATATAATAAATAATAAAATGAATAAAATAAAGGTATAGTTAAGTGATGAAGCAGAATTATAAGGTGTTTGCTAGGCATTGTTATAAGCATTTACAGAGAATTCTAGAGTATTGAGACATTGTTCAGGAGGAGGAGATTAGACATAAACTCAGAATAATTTTGGTGATGATTAGTTAGAATCAGATATATAATGTGAATAGAATATAAATAAGGAATTATTAGGATGTGGTTTTGTAAGTCATAGTGCAAATGAAGAGAGTCCATAAGTAATAATAATAATAATAAACATGTTTTAGATGAAATAATTATGTGAAGGTGGGAAGTATATAGTAACATTTGATCCATTAGATGGAAGTTCAATAATAGGAACAAATTTTACAGTAGGAACAATAGCAGGAATATGGGAATCAGATTAAAGTTTATTAATAGGTAAACGAGGTAGTGATTTAATATGTTCTTGTTGTTGTTTATATGGAAGTAGAACTACAGTCATTATATATAATAAGAAAGAAGATAAAGTTTAAGAATATACATTATATGGTATATAAATATTCTATATTTGAGATAGTGATAAATAAGGACATTGGGAATTAACTAAAGATAAAATTATAATAAAATAGAAAGGGAATATATTTAGTCCAGGTAATCTAAGGAGTATTATGAATCATCATGCTTATAAAGAGGTTATTGAATATTATTTCTATAATGGGTATACTTTAAGATATACAGGAGGAATGGCTCCAGATATATGTTAAATATTTTTAAAAGAAAATGGAGTATTTTCTCTTTTTGGAGATATAAAGAATCCTTGTAAATTAAGATATTTATATGAATGTGCTCCATTATCATTTTTAATTGAAAAAGCTGGGGGTAAATCATTTAATGGAGAATCCTCAGTATTAAATACAATTATTAATGGATATGAATAAAAAAGTGAAATTGCTGTAGGATGTGCTGAAGATATTGAAATATTTAAATAAGTTTGGATAAAGTATGGAATTCTTAAGGATTGATATCATAGATTATATTTATTAGATATTATGATTATATTTATATTTAATAATATCATAAATTCTTTAAGAACTTTTCTTCATATAATTTAATACTTTCTTCAATTATTCTGTATGCTTCTTCTTTTCCTTTAAATTCTTCTACAACAACATGTTTATGTTCAAGTTTTTTATAATCTTCAAAGAATCTTTAGATTTCCAAAGTTGTATGCATTGGAAGATCTTTCAAATCATTAATTCCTTAATACGAAGCGTCATTTTTAGCTACAGATATAATTTTATCATCAATCTCTCCTTAATCAACCATATGCATAACACCAATTACTCTTGCTTCAACTAAACACATAGGCTCTATTTCAACTGAACATAAAACTAAAATATCTAAAGGATCTTAATCATCACAATAAGTTTGTGGAATAAATCCATAATTTGCAGGATAGTGAACAGCTGAAAATAATACTCTATCTAATTTTAATAAACCACTGTCTTTATCTAACTCATATTTAGCTTTGCTTCCTTTTGTTATCTCTATTATAGCATTTAAAAACCTATTCCAATATTATTATTATATACTTAGGACTATCACTTCCATAATGTACATGATGCCATGGATTCTTAGCATACTTTTATATCAATTAACTTGATTATTAATGATTCATTATATTATATATAAATTTATTTATATTGATCTTTTTAAACACTTTTATATTCTCTTTATGAAATATTTAATTATAATATTAATTGAATTCAACGACACTCTATAAAATTAATGATCTCTAAATAATTAGACATATATCTATTGTATTTTTTTAAAATAATTATTAATTAATTTTATTATTTTCTTAATCACTTTTAGAATAGTTCTAAATAAAAGAATTAATTTATAAAACATAAAACAACTTGAAATAGTATTAATTAATTTTTAAAATATAATACCAATGATAAACAATGATATAATAAATAAGAAATAAGTGAAGAATTATTTCACAGATATCGAATAATTTAAAAATACATATACAAACTGATATAAGACTATATATATAATCAAATTTATTAATGTTTACTTAAATATTTAGAGGAAAAGTAAAATAGAAGCTTCATAAATAAAGATTGAATAATAAATAATAGAAAATATTCATCTAATAATTGTTATAAAATTAAGTATTATTATAGGTAATATTGTATTTTGATTAAATAGAATGTTTAATAATAAGGAAAAGATGGATTGAGAAATGAGATAGAATGAAGGAAATAAAAGTAGAAGATGATCAATGGTTATAAAGAAAAATTAAATGTTTAGTATTTTGTAATATAAATGCTTAAATGAAATAATTGAGATATTTAATATTTAAATTATTAAACTAACTCCAACTAGCATAGAAAAAGTAATATCTCCTCCTTCTTTTCTCATATTCCTCTCATATATTACAAAGTGTTGATTTTTTTATTCTTAGTGAATACGTCGATTGATGAATATGCTTGGGCTTAACATTAATAAGATGGTAATATTTTCTTTTTTTAATTTATTTCCCTCTTATAGATCTTCCTCGAAATCAATTCTTCACCCAATCTATACCAGTTGAGAAGGATATAAAGAATAAAAATTGCAAATTGCATATAGGAAACCTTCCTCTATAGATTACAGAAGAGACTTTACATCGTGTGTTCTCCAAATATGGTTAAATTAAAGAAGTTAAGATCATTCGCAAAAATAGTTAAGGGGTTTAGTTTTTTATATATATTTAAATAAGTAACCACTAAAAGATTACTGCTATGGGTTTGTTCTTATGTGCGATGGTGATGGAGCATAAAATGCTGTCACAGAATTAAAATAAAATAGTCCATTAGGGACTACTTGGACAGTTGCTTTTAGTAAAGATAAAAATGATGTATATTCTACGTTTTCTATTCTTTCTTAAGGATTCTGCAGGTGCTGGTCATTAGAAATCTGATAAAAAAAAAGATGATAAAGTTAAAAAGAAAGAAAAATCAAAAGAAAGATTAAAAAAAGATAAGTCTAAACCAAAAAAGAAAGTTGTATTTTTAATTTAATAAAAGAAGAAGAAATCTGAATCATCCTCATCCTCTGATTCTTCAAGAGCAAGATCTGCTAAAAAATAAAAAAAATAAAAAAAGCGTAAACATTCTACTTCATCTGAATCATCTTCTTCTAAATTACCACCTAGAAGTGCTCTTGTTAAAGTAGAAAATAAAGACATTGCAGAAATTGTGTTTTCTGGTGGTGATTTGTAGTCTCATCTAATTTATTAATAAGTATGTAAATCTCTTTTAAATTAAGTAGCCATAATAACAATATCATATAAATCATAATGTTTATGTAAGAGAGTTATTTATATCTGGAATACCTTAATCTAAAGTATCTGCCGATATACAAAGAATATTTTCTGCATATGGTATTGTTGAGAGAATTGATATTGTACCTAAATAATTAGTCAATTATGCTTATGTTAAATTTAAAAGATTAGAATCAGTTATTTAAGCTATGCAAAATTCATAATTAATTGCAGAATTATTAGAAAGTGCAGGATAAGTTAAAATTTATTAATCAGATCCATTTAGAAGAGTATAAATTGTTGGAAATGCAGAAGATAGTGAAAGAGTATCTATATATATATATATATAATTAGGAAGAAGAAATGTGGCCAGTTATGTTTATTGGATTTCCACCTAATTAAAATTTTATTTTAGATGAAAAATTCTTAAAAAAAATGGCTGAAAAATTTGGAGGAGAAGTCAAAGGAATTTAACATTTTTAACCAGACTCTCCTTAATTAAGATCTTATGTTCTTATTGAATTCTCTTTTTTGAAAGATTGCAAAAAAGCCAGAAGAAAATTTTGCAGATATAAAATATAAATTTTGGGTGATAAAAAATGTGATGTCGCTATCTTATCTAATTATCCTGCAAATTTATAAAATAAAAGATAAACAAATATGTTTATGTAATAACCATTTGGAATGGGTATTTGATCTTATAATATAATTAGATTATATGCAAGTTAATTAGTAAATACCAATGCATCAGTAAATAGTATAAAGACAATTGCCATAATAAGTGTAGATGATGCCACCTTATTAAAATTAGCCTCTTGCATAATAACATATTGCTCCTCCTACTATTCCAAATATATATGATTACACCTAAATGCCAATATTGTATCCTTAATCTCAATAAAATCAACAACAAATGATGTTTATGAAAAATCAATAACAATAACTTTAAATACCTACTTAAACCCCAGTTCAACCTCAATTTAGACCATAAGCTCCACCAGTCCCTTAAACTTAATAACCACCATAATTACAATATTATTAATAGTTGAATCCATAAACTTAACCTTAAAATTACATGCCACAATCATACTCAATGGATATGATAATCCCACCTCCAACAATAAAATAAGATGAAATCAACTCTCCATTTTGGTGTGGTTATATGAATAGAGGTAAATAACATCGAGTTGGAATAGATGCAAGAATGCATAAAACAAATATGGATATTAAGAAAAGTATTATTATTATTATTTATTTATTTAGTTAATCTACCTTCAAATTTAGAAATGAGTTACAAATGCACATATTAAGATGCTTATTAAAGAGCAGTATAAGATTAATCAGCCATTTTAATATTTACTCCTGCTCAAGACTCTGATTATCTAAAGTTCAATGAATATGTGCAATATTTAAGAAATAAGGTATATAATTATTTATAATTTAGTAACGAGCTGGTGTTATATAAAGTGAAACTTTCACTATCTATGTTATTCCTCCAGGAGTATCAGAGGCATAACTTATTTGCAATATAAATTAATAAGAAATGATAGCTATTTATTGTCATAAGGAACTAAAATGATAGTAGATTTATACATAAATATTAAATATATATTAATTGGATCATATATTTTATTCATTTTATTTAATAATTTCAAATTATATTTGAGATTTTAAAATATCTCTAATTCGTTTTTTTAATTTATTTTAATCTTTTTTACACCCTTCCAGATCAATTAAATGAAGTATTATAGTTTCTTCTTCTGGAATTTCCAAAACACCTATTTTACATTTATTTTTCATTTCACTGATCAAATAACTTATATTTATTTATTAATATTCCTCAGGTATTTCAGCCTGAAATATCGCATCCTCTAATTTTGTAATAACAAAAATAAAGAACTTTTTGACCATAGAATAAAAATTCTCATATTTATTATCATTCCTAAATCTAAATTAATTCAATCCTATTTATTCAATTTCTAATTAAACGACAACTTTCTTATTTTATTTTCCTGGTGCTACTCTATTTAATTATAATTCAATTTAATAAATATTTCTATTTAATAATTTAAAATAAATTTACTTTGTTATAAATTATTGAGTCATAAATTGAATAAATGCTTATTCATTTAGTTATTATTGATATAATTTAAAATAAGGATGATTAAAAACTTAGTCTATGGTTGGTCTTTTATCTGGAATATTATTTAACATTCTTTCAATAAGATCTTTAAATTCTTCTTCAAAATGAATTTTTAATTTATTTTCATTTTCAACCAAATTAACAAAATGATTCCAAAATGATTTTGGATCCTACAAAAGACTTACATAAATAGGATTATTCATATCCAATTAACCCTATATTGTTAAGATTTGTTATTTACATCACCAAATGGATATACTCCTGATCTTATTGCAATAAATGTGCAACCTAATGAAAAAATGTCTGCCTTTTTGGTAGAGTATTTTTCACCTTTTTAAACTTCTGGTGCCATATATCCTTTAGTTCCTTAATATTCACTTGATTCTGGATTAAACTCTATCAATCCAAAATCACTTAATTTTAAAATATAATTTTCATCTAATAGCATATTTTCAGGTTTAATATCCATATGAGCTACATTAAAATCATGCAATATTTTCAAAGCTCCATTTTTATATATTGTTTACCTTTCGTAATTTATAATATGTATGCTTAAGCTATTTATTCAGGGACCCAAGGATTATCACATAGAAAATCTGTTAAATTACCTATTCATTTTAACATTTCATACACAACCATTTTTAGCATACTCTAAAACCAAGAGGATACTTACTGAGTGTTTATCTGCCAATTGTAAAACATCCCTTTTGAGTTATGAATATTAAATTACTTTAATCTATTAATATGTTAAAAATCTTGAGTTCCCTTTTCTAATTATATTATTTTCTCTATTTATTATAAAAAACTGATTTCTTTAGAAATGATTTAATATAAAGGATTATTTATATTCAACTAATCAATTCTTATTGGTTTGCATTCTTTAATAGCCACTTTCATTGATGGCTAATCTATTGTTTGTGCCTCATAAACACTTAAGTAATTTAAATTCAATACAAACAAGTTTTTCCTTAACCTACACATCTTAAAATTTAATATTTGTCTAAAACTCGATTCATATTATTATTTTATTTTAATAATTCATTAAAAAATTAATATTTTTATACTTATTTTAAGCTATAATTGTTATAGAATGCTTGATAAAGTTTATTAATAAAATTTAATCGTTAAATGAATTATTAACAAAATCAGTGTCAACATATAGATCTAATACCTTTTAATAATAAGTTCTTTTGCAAATCATGTGGAATTCATATGCCAGAAGATGGAAGCATTGGAATCAAAGCTCAGAATTTTAGTTTTCCAGGTTATTTAAATCCAATATAAAATCTAAAAAAATAGTGGAATAGAGCAGTTCCAATAGGATCATTACCAACTGAATATTAAAAAGTATTAATCTCATAAATTTAATAGCAAAGATTATCACTTATTGATTATATGATAGAATGGAGTGAAAAATTAAAACTGTCAATGAATTCTTTATTTTTGGCAGTATAATTTTTAGATTATTTTGTATCATAAAAGAAAGTAGATCCTGTTTAATATAGATTATATGGTGCTACATGTCTTATGTTAGCAGGTATTTATAATTTTTATAATTATATAGCTAAATCTATAGAATTAGATGAAAGGATTCCTTTTATAAGTAAATTAAGAAGATATACTTATTTACCTTATTCAACTATAGATTTCAGAAGATGTGAATGTTAAATAATTAAGTAATTGAATTGGAATTTATAATGTACAACTTTAATAGATTGGGCTGAGGCAGTAATCTCTTTAGGAATAGTATATGAATAGGAAGAATTATGTTAATCAGAAAATGTTCTAAAAGAGAAAAGTACTAACATTCTTTAACAATAAAATAATCAATAATAGATTAAATAGGATGTTTTTAAGGAACATTTAGAAAATGTTTTCAAATAGCCTTCTACATGTCCTAAATAGATTAATGAGAAAGTTTAAGAATAATTAATCAAACTATGTATTTCAATTCTTAAGGATGGTTCATATTTAGATAAAGATCCAGCTGAATTAACAGTTTCAGCTATTGGATGTGCACGTAAGGCTAGTGGATTGAAAAATTCTATGTATTATTATTACATATAAATTAGACCAAAATGTTTGTTTGAATTGTTAGAAAATGTAGAGCCTAAATTTTTAGAAAATTTAACTGATCACTTTATTAAATAAGTAAAATAACCAACAAGCGTCTTGGGTAGAGCATTTACAACAGACTTAGATTTTTTTAGTCTTTAAAATTATAAGCATAGAATAGCATGATAATATAATAGTTAATTATAATACTACCTATGTATAAAATCATTATAATTCATCAATTGTGTGGATTGTCTTACTAAACTAACTTTTTTTTAAAGGATCGTCTTTCATTGATTAAACACTTTTTCTATGATGAGGTATTATTTCTTAATGTGGAGATAAGCTTTCATTCTTAGGAGAAGCTATTTTAATTACTTTAAGTTCGTTCTTAAAAGCCAAACCATTGTTAGCATCAAATCTAGGAGAGATTTATAAATAACATCCATTAGTTTAATTCTTTGAGCTTTCAGAACCTTATGATGATATGGATGATTATCTAGAATGATTTGCTGATCTTAGTGTCAATTATTTTTTATGTTTCATATTTATATTTAATAGTGAAGGAATTAATTTATCTTGAGTTAAATTCTTTATTTCATCATCAACTAACCCAAGATAAGAAATGGTAATTTTCTAGTATTTCTTAAAAATGCTTCCATTATTAGATCAATATTTTTGTATTAATTTGATAAATAGCAGATACAAATCTTATTTTGACTAAAAAAAAATAAATATTTCATTATTCCATTTTTGTAATAATATTTATTATTAACATTATATAAATATTTTGTTTTGTATTTATTATTAATGTAGATTGGCATTATCATTCTTCAAGCATTTTTTTTCCTTTTTCTGCATATTCTTTATTGAGTTCTTCCCAATTTTCCAAAACCATTTCAAATTGCTCAAAGATCATTGAATGTGTCAATCTATTTCTTGAAGGTCCAACTTCCATAGAATAAATCTTATGTGAAGTATTAGTTTCAATTGTTCTATTTAAATAGACTCCATAACTAAATATAATTAAATATTAAATATACACATAATGAGGAATCCAAATAATAGCTGCTAAACCAAATGATAGTCTTGTTTCTCTTCCAATATAATCATCATATAATCCTCTAAACCACCAATGTCTATTTCTTACTGCAATAGCTGCTCCCATATTTAATTAATGATATTTTAATTAAGATTTTATTGAATATATCAACAGTATTATATTTCTGTAAAAAGTCTAATAAGGATAAAAAGAATATAAAATAGAAAGTAGAAAGGATTAAAAGAATATTCGGGATTAGATTAATTAATTAAGTTTAGATGAATAATAATAAGTTTAAGTAGAGGAATTGAGAAATATTAATTTGAATATGTTAATATTAAATAAATATATTGATAAGTTATTATGTATATTATGTAAATATATTCATAATTGGGGGATTGTAGAGGATAGGGGATATAAAAAATAAAATAATTAAATTTTAATTATATTATATATAAATGAATACTTATGAAGATGAGAAGAACAGAATAGCATTAAAAAATATAATAGATGAGAGAAATAAAAAGATTGTAAAAAGTCCATTACCTTAATTCTATTTAGATTAAGTATGTGGAATAGCAGATAGATCAATTAGCAATTAGTTGACATTTATTCAAGGAAGTAATGGAAGTTATATTAATAAATAGATCTAATTGTGTTTTATGCATCTAATATGATAATAGTTTAAAATGTTGAGACAGGATAATAGTAATTCATACCAGGAAGATATAAAAATGTGACTGCTATAGCTGCTGCAAGTAGAAAAGATGGTTTGATGATAGCAGTAGGAGAAAATTTAGAATAATCATCTAACTTAGTTATTATTATAAAAGATAAAATTAGAACTATCTCATTATAATCTAAAGGTGCTATTACTTTGATTTAATTAAATGTAGAAAAATAATATTGTGGATTACAAATATAAAATTAAATATAAATTTGGAATTATGAAAAAGAAAGATTATTAGCATCAGCATTTGTTAAAGCACCTTTTGATAAATTTAGTTTTCATCCTTTGAAACATAAACATATTTTATTATCTGGTCATAATTATTTAAGATTATGGGAAATGTAATTTTAAGAAAAATAAATTAAAGAAACACATGAAACACTTATTCCTTTAAAAATAGAAAAAGAAAATAAATTCCTAGATCATGGTTGGGTAATGTTATCTGCTAATTAAGCTTTATTAGTATTATTAGCTGCTGGAAATAAAATACTTATTTTAATTAATGATCATTTTAAAAAACCTATAGATATTGATCCTTAAAATTTAAATTTTATTGATGCACCAGTATAAGATTTTAATGCAGAAGATAATGATGATGTAATGGGAATTAATTCAGCATTAGAAGATGTTATTAAAGATAAAGTTGGATAAATTGTTATGAATAATTAAACTAAATTAACTTAAAATACTACAATTATGACTTAATAATAATTAGAATTTTAATGTTTATCAACTACAAAAAAAGGATTTATATTAGGAGGTACTAAAGGAGCTGTTTGTATTTATGAATTTGATAAAAATTATAATATAGTAAGTGCTATGTCTTTTAATATGAAAAGTAATAGAGGTGAACATAAAGTTATTCAAATATCTAATAGTGGAGATCAATTAATTTCTATTATTAGTTTATTTGGAAATCAACTCTATTATAGTATTCTTAATACAGCATAAATGGATACTGAAATTAGTCCTATTTAACCATTCTTTGCTGCTGGATTCCATAATAAAAGAGTCAATTCAATATCACATGCTAAAATTAAATAAGTATTCGTTACATGTTCTGAAGATAATTCTGTTAAAATTTGGAATTATTATTAAAA